GACAAAAGAGATAAACACACACACACATACACACACACACACACTCACTCACTCACTCACACACACACACACACACACATACACACACACACACACACACACAAAACATACACAAACACTCAAATACAGAGAGACAGAGACAGAGAGAGACAGAGAGACAGAGAGACAGAGAGACAGAGAGACAGAGAGAGAGAGAGAGTAAAAGAAAAAGAAAGAGAGAGAGAAAGAGAGAGTGAGAGTGACAGAGAGAGAGTGGGGATGGTGGTGAGTGCGAGTGTTGCGAGGGAGAGGGAGATGAAAAATAACAAAAGCAGTAAAAGATAACAATTTGGAAGATATTTTGATCTTTTATGATTGCATGTGCCTAAACAAATCGAAGAAAATTGCACCAACGAAGGAATACATAAAGAAAACGTGTGTGTGTCGGTCAAAGAGAAGGTAAACGGTCGACAGAAGAAATGAATGATGTCTGATTGCCTGACAGGTTTCTTCAACAACAAAAAAAGAGAAGATAATTTTAAATGGCAAGTTTATCATAGGCAGACACACGCTGTTGTACTTATTTAGGGCTGGATTTCGCCTCACCGCCCGGGAGAGAATGCAAGACAGAGGATTACCCAGATATTATAAAGCAGCTAGAAATAGAAACCAGAGCACTCAACGTACCCCCACAAAGGCATGTCCTGGCTTACTGAGACGAGATTGTTTCGAAAAGAAGATTTTGACCTCGCATCTTGAGTGCTTTTGATATTGATTCCGTGTGTGTTTTTGTTGCTGCTGCTGTTGTTGAAAACATTTTTTAAAAAGAAAAAAAGAAATGCTGTTAAAAGAGAAATTTGAGATTTTTCCTTTTCAAAGACAAAACCAAAGGTGACTAAAGAAATGCTTTATTACTGTACATCATCTATATATCATTCAAGTGGTGCCGACGTTTGCACTTCTCTTTAACCCTCACTTTAGCAGAGACTGTAACAACCAACTTGGAACTTCACGGTGACATTGATCCCTTTGATCTTATGCATCCAGTATTTGAGCATCCTTTTATCCCACTTACTTCTTTGATTTGGAATGCATGTATTTGCTGTCTTTGTTTTTGGTTCTTCTCTATTTGTTGACACTGATCATTTATCTATGTTTCTTTTGCTTAGTTGCATTTTTTCTTTATTTCCCTGTTTAAGATGGTATACTTTTGCACATTTGATTTTACATTTCTTCTCTCTTCCATTAGGTTTAATATGTCCTGGGTCATCCATTTTTTATGAGCTTTTTTAGCTTTCGGGGTGATATTTTCTTCCACAGCTTCCATTATTGAGTCTTTCATTTCCCTCCATAGTTCTTCCGATTTAGTAATGTTTTCCAAAGCTTGAAATTTATTTCTTACATCTATGGAGAAACATTTTTTCTGTTTTTGATTTGTCTTTAAAAGACCTATGTCAAATTTAGGTTGATACTTTGACTTTTGAGTTTCTTTAGTCTTATCCGCATTGTACACGCGCCTGGTACATGGTCACTATCACAGTCTGCTCCTGGCATTGATTTAGATGATTTTATAGTATTTCTAAAACGTTTCTGGATAGGTATAAAGTCTATTTGATCTCTACTTCTATCGCCAGGACTCTTCCAAGTGTATCGTCTTCTTGGGTGATTTTCATACCAGGTGTTTGATATCATAAAATTATTTTCTCTGCAACATTCTACCAGTCGTTCTCCGCGTTCATTCTCTTTACCTAGTCCCCATGACCCAACTATATCTTCTGTACGTGTACTTCCTACTTTGGCATTAAAGTCTCCCATGACTACCTTTACTTCTTGTGATTTTAACTGTTTAATTGCCTTATCAAGGTTTTCATAAAAGGTCTCAATTTCCTCGTTGTCGTGCTCTGATGTTGGTGCATACATTTGGATGGCACCCATGTCAAAAGGTTTTTCTTTAATTTAGCCACTATGACTCTATCTGACACTCCCCAAAAACCTTTGATGCTCTGTGCTGTTGCTTCGTCAAATAAAATTCTGACTCCTCTTTTATGGGTTTTTCCTCCTGAATATATAATTGTTTTGGATCCTCTTTTAATCAAGCCTGCCCCCTCCCATCTAACTTCTGAAAGGCCTAACATATTTAGCTTCATCCTGTCCATTTCCTGCTCTATATTATCTAATTTGCCTTTCTGGTACATTGTTCTTACATTCCATGTGGCGATGTTAAGTTGCTTATTTTTGCAGCTAGTAGCTGGATGCCGATCGGGCGCCACCTGCTGCCCGTGGCGGTCCCTACCGAGCGGGGAGTTCAGAGCTGGATCATGAACCCCCTTAACACTGTTATCTGATAAATGAATGTACTTTTCCATGTCTATTCTTGGGATATTACAGCTGTGGTTTCCCGTTTGTGTACAGTTTTCTCTACTAGCCTTTGTCATCCACTGACAACCCACAAGGCAGTGGGGGGGGCTTTGCTATGATTTTTGGCGCCTCCCGTCGCCAAGATGGTCCCTTCTTCTAGTGTGTGAGGTGTTTATTGAAGCACCTGTGCCCCCAGGGTTCCCTTCTACTCTCCACGACCATCTCCCATTTGGTTCGCGACTGCTTAGCAGCTAACCTCCATATCTGGAGGCCTTTCCCCTATCCACCACCCGGGGACGCGCTGGGTTGGACATGACGACCCAATACTAAATCTTAGCACTTCCCAATATACATATTA